AAAAAAAAAAAAAAAAAAAAAAAAAAAAAAAAAAAAAAATTGGAAAAGTAGAAGAACATTAGGAAAAAAAGCTGGTAGCTTTGACTTCTTCAGAAGTGGCATAAAAAAGTGTCGAAACACAAAACGCAGCAACACAGTGATAAAACTGCGCGCTTGCATTGTTTTTCTGTTATCACGCTCGCCCGCCACAGTGATAATAGGCCGAGGTAGAGTAGGAAATTGAGAAAGAGGCTTCTTCAAACTCTCCGAGCGGCTAATCATTTGTGAGTGCGTGTGTACCTACATTGATAATTAAAAAATACTCATGCTTGGTGCAATTAGCCAGTCAATCAGTTATATATCTACAGCGCGTTAGTGTTTAACGAGGTAAGTCGTTATCGCAATATGCCCAACTAAGCGTAGCAGCAGTAGCTTTAGTAACAAGTGACCAGTGGAGTGAGACGATTAGTATTAGTTACGATCTTAGGTGTTACATTTTATATTCGTGTTAACGTCTTGCTACGAGTTAAACGTAAAAGTTTTTAGTGAGAGCCGTAATTTCATTAACTTAGTAACATGTCTTGTGCGAAAGCAAGTGAAGTGGTTTGCAAGAATAGTGCCATCATCAAGCTGCTGAGATGCAAGCCAAAATCTCAACACCGACAGCAGCTACCTCATTATCCACGCAACGGATATTTAAAAACTGTCATGGGTGGAGGTCTTGCAACTTCAAAATCGTTTAAGCTCACTGTGCTTGATTTTTATTTCAATAACGGCAAGCAGAATGAGCGCGCAACCGCTCATAAATTTGATATCCATCGGTATCAGCTACAGAAGTGGTTGCAAAACGAAAAGACTCTTCGCGAGTCTTGTTCTAAGTTGGCCTCAAGCAGTAGAGTTATTGTTTTAACTCCATTGGCCTTGAGTCGCAAATTCAGCAGACTGCAGATAAAATCTGCAAGCTCTACGTCTTCGCTGAAGCGTGGACGTTTGGATGAGGACAGTGGCGAGGAGCATACCCTCGTCCGTCCAAAGCGTATTCGCAGCAGCAGCTGTGGAACGGCCGCAACATCTGATGTGGACCAAGGCGAGATACTGGAGGCTTCGTTGCCATTAAGTGCAGCTGAGTCCGGTGCCCCGTCGCTCAACAGCCAAACGCTGAAAAAACTATGCAAAAGTGCAAAAAGTGACAGTCTTGCGTGCCAGAGGCCAGGCCTTAAAATTAAAGTTCTTGACGTTTGTGCCATTAATAATAAGTTTTCTAGTAAGGCCAAGGCACGTAAAGTTGGCCTAACCCTTCAAAAATGGATGTTGGAAGATAATGACGTCAAAAAACTTGTCAATATCACAAATATAGACAAGTTTCAGCGTCTGGGACCAGTAAAAAAGACACAGGAGCCAGTCGTTGATTCAATTTTGGATGAGGCGGCTGTCTCCGCGGCTTGCCCGCTGACGCCACCCAACAACAGCTCCGATGGACCCGAGCCGGATTCCAGCTCACTACCTGCTGTTGTGAGGTCGCGGAAGTGCCAACTGCCGTCCTGGTATTTACCACCAGAATAAGACAGTGAACTGTGCGAGGTTGAGCGAAAGAAAGATTTTAAAGGACATTAACAACCTTTGTTGCAGGGTATGCGTATGTATACATGTGTGTATGTAAAACTTTATTAAGCCATGCTGTATAACCATGTATGGCTTCAAAGATTATTATGCTTAGTAATATTTTTACTTTAACTTGAAATTTATATACATAAGAAAAAAGAATTTATTTACATTTATTTTTATTATTATTTACATTATTGTTATTATTTTTAATTTTTATACACTTTTAACAAAATATATTTATAAATCAATTGCGTTCTGTAANACTTTTAACAAAATTGAAATCGATTTTTACTTTTACTGCGTGTTTTGGTACAAATTTAAACAAAACAACTTATTAATACTTATTTTCAATTCTTACTTATATTTAACAATTAAAATGTATTTTAATATATGTTTATTCAAAATTTTCTGATTTATGTAAATTTAACATGTATACAACGTAAATATTAAATGATATTTATTTTATAGAACTGCTATTTTATAATAAGATCATTCCTGTATAAAGTATCTACGTTGAACTGTACAAAATAAAACGTTTGTAAATGACTACTATTTCATTTACTTTATCGAATCCATTTTTTTCCTACATCAATTTCAGACCTCTTGAGTATCAAGAAGGATTTTTTATGGTTATAATTAAACCGAGTGAAACTGAACCCACCGAAAAAGTTCATTCCTGTATAAAGTATCTACGTTGAACTGTACAAAATAAAACGTTTGTAAATGACTACTATTTCATTTACTTTATCGAATCCATTTTTTTCCTACATCAATTTCAGACCTCTTGAGTATCAAGAAGGATTTTTTATGGTTATAATTAAACCGAGTGAAACTGAACCCACCGAAAAAGTTGAGACTATTTTTTTTCTAACATGTAGGGCTGGAACCAAAGGGGTAACGAATATAAATACGACAGCCTTATTATTTGTAACGATCAAAATGAAATAATGAATTAACCTATGTGTGCAGGATTCGTGAAAAAATAATTTTATCTTTAATTAAACAATTTTTTCTCCAAAAACTAGACTTTCCAAAATCAACGTTCACTTACGATAAGTGAATGATCAGATTTTAATGTCCATCAATATTGGTCTTCACCTCGGGTCCGACTCATGTAGACACGTTGAAGGAATACGGCACATACCTTGTGGGGATCAAATTCTGTGCAATACGATATTACTGCAAGTGTATACCTCAAACCAAAGCTCAAAATGGCAATTCAAGCTGAGTGGCTGGTATTTGACAGAGCTCAGAAGTGCTGTTTTTCGCGTCACATTTGTAATTGGACAACGAGAAACTCATTAAGCAGAAACAGAGAGGTAAAAACGCACGAGTGCAGAATCAAGAACTCGAGATAGGAGAATGTTTTTTTTTTTTTTTTTTCCTACCTCACGACCAGAATTTAAAAAAAATGTATCGTAATTGAAAAATTATACTCTGTAATGTTGTGATAATTTCACCCTCTCGCGTGTTGTACATTTAAAGCTCTTCTAAAGTTAAATATTACACGTTATTCAAGACCTATGGCGTATTAGACGTGCCGATAATGGGGTTACGGGAGAACGAGGTCTTTTTCCATTAGGTGCTCTCAATTCATGGTTGACTTTTTTTTAAGTATTACATAAACGTGCTTTCCGATTTGCGCCTTTGGCTCAAGAAAGCCTCTTACGCATCAGTTTGAAAAAATAAAATGATAAAGTAAATAAATAAAAATAACTAAACGAAACATGAAAAATAAGATTACAGCTGAAAAAAGGCATTCACAGATCCTCTATTTCGTACGAATTTCGTTCTTGTCATCGTGTACGATGATGAAACAAAAAACACCCCTTTGTCAAAACAAACTGCAGCCCCGAAGATTACCTTGAAAGCGGAACAAAAGACTTCATAAGAAATTTTTTTCCTAAGTTCTGGATAACTGCAAACATTTTTTATTGCATTTGATCTTTAAGTCGTGTAAAATTCATATTAATTCGGATCACTTTTAGATTTTGTAATGATTTAAATGTAACTGTGCAATGAATTGAATAACTTAAGGATAGCACAGAGATATTTCAAATTTTGTTTCTTATCGATAAGAATTATTTGTATAATAAAGCTATAAAATATTTTATAAAAAATTAAAATGTCATGTTGAAAAAAATAATTTTACATGCATTGTTTACATTTAGAAAAATGATCGAGCCTAAACTCGGTGAGATTGATCATTGAAAAATAAATAATTGTATGGCAAAGATTGGTATCAGAATTTCCACTGATCATCTGCAATTTATAATCAATTCAAAAATGTGTGGAAACTTTTATTTCGCAAATCGGTATTAAAAAAACATTCTGATACAAATGCAATTTAATTTTAGTTTCCATCTTTCGCCTTGACTTTACAATAAATTTCATATAGTTCATGCTTGTGTTTGGTAAAACACTTTATTTGATATTGTACAAGCGGGTTGATTACAGCGTGAGGCGTCGTGAGTGTGAGCGGGACAAGCGTCTGGTCGTCTCGGAGAGCAGTGCTCAAGTGCCCGAACGCAGAGGCGGCTCCCAGCAAGGCGGAAGCCCGTGAGCATGGCGGAAGTGCACGCAGCGCCTCGCTCGGCTGTCGCGCTCGGGCGCGAAACCAAACAATCCGCCCGCCTCGATCCTGGATCGAAGAACTACCCGCCACCCGCCAAACCGGGGTCGGTCAGGGAGTCTTCTGGAGGCGGCGGAGCCGCGGGAGTCGCTGACATAGGCAGCAAGACCATCTTGGTGATGGATCGCTTGTACACGCCAGTCACCGTCTTGAGGGTAGCAGCGCGGACAAAGCCGTCGGCTCCCGGGTGGACGCTGATGACACGGCCGATCGGCCATCGGCCGCTGGACTGCAGAAGTGTAGCGTCGAGGAGGACGACCACATCGCCGACGATGAAGTTCCGGCGAGGAGTAGTCCATTTTGACCGCTGTTGGAGTGTGTTGAGGTATTCTCGGCTCCAGCGGGACCAAAACTGGGCGCGGACCTCCCGAACGAGCTCCCAGTGGGCGAGCGCATCCAAGCTCTTCGCAGGGCCGGGCAGAACGATGGAGTTGAGAGGGCCACCGACAAGGAAGTGCCCTGGGGTGAGAATATCGAGGTCTCCAGTGTCTCCAGATAGCGGTGTCAGTGGTCGGCTATTTAAGACCATCTCGATGCCAACGAGCACCGTGGAAAATTCCTCGTAGGTGAGATGGCGTGACCCCATGACGCGCTGGAGGTGACTTTTGGTTGACTTGACGGCGGCCTCCCACAAGCCACCGAAGTGAGGAGCACCCGGTGGAATGAACTTCCAAGCAATTCCTTGATCGGCTAGAGAGCCCGCGACCAATCCCCAGTCCAGCTCGGCTGTCAGCAAGGCATCGCGCAGCTCAACATCAGCGCGGCGGAAGCAAGTCGCGCTGTCGCTCCATATCTCACCGGGCCGACCGCGGCGTCCAGCGAATCGGTGGAGGGCGCCCAAGAAGGACGCAGCCGAGAGATCGCCGACCAGCTCCAGGTGCAGGGCCTTGGTGGCGAGGCACACAAAAACAGCGATGTAGCCTTTCGTGGTCCGGACTCCTCGTCCTCTGGCGAAGAGTACATGGAAAGGGCCGGCGTAGTCTACTCCGGTGCAGGCAAAGGCATGAGAAGGGGAGACTCGAGACGACGGCAGTGGGGCCATGAGTTGAGTCGCTGGTCGCGCTCGCAACCGGATGCAGACGACGCACCTGCGGAGGTGAGCCTTGATCCACCGGGGCCCACCGAGGAGCCAAGCGCGCTTACAGACGTAGGCACTGGTGACACGGTATCCACCGTGCAGCGCCCGAGAGTGCGCCCAGGCGATGACCATGGAAGCGAGGGAAGAGACGCCGCTGAGAATTGGTGGGTGCCGCTCTTCGTAGGTCAGCGGTGAATGCTCTAGCCGCCCGCCGACGCGCAGAATCCCGTCGTCATCGAGGAAGGCTGCTAACGGTACCAAGGGGTTCGTCTTCCGCAGACGTTCGCCTCGTCGAAGACACTGGAGGTCGTCCGAAAATGATCTCTCCTGGCTGAGGCGTACACATGCGAGAAAAGCGTCGTGGAGTTCGGTCGGCGTAAGAGGTGAAGCGACCGAAAGCACGGGGTCCCTGCCCAAGCGGCTCCGGACGAATCGACGAATGCGTACGAGGAAGCTTAGTAGCATGCGTCAGTTAGAGAATTGCTCGAGGTAGCTGGCGTCGAGCTGCGGAGCTCGAGGCGTGGAATCGTCATGCGCGCGGATGTCTCTGGCGCCGGCTTGAGCGAGCGAATCGGCGAGAGCTTCGTCCGAGCCAGAAGAATGTGGCAGAGCGCCGGCCCAGCCCCGGGCGCGAGGCGAGAGTAGATGACGGCTGCCATCGCGCGGCGACTGGCGTCCGAAAAGCCGTGCAGGTGAAGCTCGGAAGAAGGCCCAACTCCGATCCAGCGCGGTAAGGTGAAGGTGGAGATAGCCTGGAGCTCGGCGGTAAATTCCACCCATCGGCGAGTCATTGAGATCGGCGCAGGCTCGTCCCGGCCCAGGCGCGCCAGAGATCCTGGAGCACGAGCTTGGCATTTAACACGATGGGCGCGAGCCAGACCCATGCGTCGAACAGACCCGCGAGCGCCGCGAGCATCGTCCGCTTTGTGCTCTGCGGCTAGAGTGGTGGAGGCGTCAACTGAAATCAGTCCGACGGTGGATCCCACTTGACCCCGAGCTCGCTGACTAGGCCTTCAGCGCTGAGCTGCTCCCAGGTCGGACGTAAGCGGACGTCGTCAGGCAGATCGTCGAGCAGCTCGCGGACATTGGCCACCCACTTCCGCAGGGGAAAGCCGCCGGCCTTCATGAGCCCGCTCAGCTGGTCGCGGAGGCGCCGAGCCGCGGTGACGTCGTCGGCCCCGGAGAGAAAGTCGTCGGCGTAGTGGTCACACAGGGCGGCTGACACAGCTTCGGGCCAGTTGTGGCCTTCGTCCTGGCATAGCTGTTGGAGGGTACGCAGCGACAGGTAAGGCGAGCACGATTCGCCGTAAGTCACAGTGAGCAGCTGGTAGTGGGTTGGAGGCTGGCTGGGATCGGCAGCCCAGACGATCCGCTGCAGGTTGACGTCACGGTAGTCGATCCAAATCTGCCGGAACATCATGCGGATGTCGCTGCAGAAGGCGATGCGGTGCCGCCGCCAGCGCATGAGCACCGATGGGAGCGCGGCTTGAAGTCTGGGTCCAGCGTGGAGGACGTCATTCAAGCTGTGGCCACTGGAAGTTGGGTTGGACGCGTTGAAGACTACTCGGAGCTTGCGCCCGCGATCAGCATGCTGCCAGATGCCATGATGATGGATGTAGTTGACGGGCCCAGCTGTAGCTGCAAGTTCAGCGCTGGTGAGCGGGCGCATGTGGCCCATCGTGAGATAATCAGCCATGAATCGACTATACTCCACAGCCATATCGGGCCTTCGCCGAAGCCGGCGTTGCAGGGCTGCCAAGGAGGCCTTGGCGCTCTGAAGACTGTCGCCAAGAAGAAGCGAACTGCTGCCCTTCAGCGGGAGGCGCACGATGTACCGTCCGTCCGCGGCGCGTCGGTGGTCTGCGAAAGCACGCTCGCACTCGATGTCCTCATCTGAGCAGCGGTGAGCCTGAGGAAGATCCTCCATCTTCGTACAGAGGGGCAAAGATTCACCACGCGTGTGTATCTATACAGAGGAGGATTTGAACTCGTTGCAGTGACTATCTTGCAAACGAGCAGCTGCGCCTACCCTATCTGCTCGCAGCTCAATCCGTGTAGCTCAATTGAATGCTAGTTCATTGCGCGAACATTTCAACGATGTCCAATTGTTTATCGAAGAGCACACGATAGATCTTTTATTTATATCTGAGACATGGCTAACACCTCAACAGTGCTCTTCGCTTTTTGAAATTCCAGGGTACGTACTCGTTAGGAATGACCGCGGATTGTCAGCGGGTTCGGGCGGGCGCATGTTCATGCAGGGAGGGGGGGTTGCCGTGTATCTTCGCTCTACTCTTGATTATCGCGTTCTCTCCGCGCCCCAAATACAGAATTTCAACTCAACGGAATACTTACTTCTTGATGTACGCGTGGGGGGCGGTGAGCGATTACTTTTGGCATCTGTATACCGTCGGCCGGAGGGGGAGGTCCTTACAGATCTATTTAGGGCCGTACAGGATGAGTCGCGTGGTTTCTCACATATTATACTGGCGGGCGACTTAAACTCGGATCTGCTTTCCAATGATTACTATGCGACGCATTTGAAAGGCTTGATTTTTGAAAATTCCCTATTTCTGGTACCAGTTGGTGCAACGCACCATCGTGGCTCTGCCAATACATGGCTGGATGTTATTCTTGTAAATTCCGAGAGTAGAGTGACCCGTATAGTCTCGTCTCCATCACCCTTTATTAATGGCCACGATTATCTTTTTATTGATTATTTAATTAAGGTTCCACGGGTGCTCCCTCAGCGTAGGGCACGCAATTTCAGTAGATTTGACCCTGCAGCGTTTAATAAGAGTGTGGCACCTCACCTTAGCCCGGATAAATTGATCACAGGCGATATTAATGAGATTCTTAGGGCATCCACCCAGGCCCTTAGGGTGGCGCTGGATCGTCATGCACCAGTGAGAGTTAGTCCCCTGCGGCGTCGGCCAGCACCTTGGTTCAATCCGGATTTACGAGCAAAGTGTCGTGAGCTCGATCGGGTGTATAGGCTGGCACGTAGAACGGGATGCGCGTCTCTATTAGAACGATATCGTGAGCTTAGGCGCGTTGTGAAGAGAGAACTGCGATTGTCCAGAGATATCTATTTACGCGATGCAATACGGGACGCCCGGGGATCAGCTGCGTGTTGGGGCATTCTACGCCGTTACGGGGTTGTAGGCCGTAGCAAATCTGTACCAATATCTAGCGATGAACTTGGTGAAATGGTAAACTACTTCTCGCGTATGGCCAGTGTTCATTCGGCTGCATCACATACACATCTCGAAAGACTTATCACTGAAATGCCCACCTGCAACCAGAGCTTTATTTTGAGTCCAGTAACAGAAATTGAAGTTAGGCAGGCTTATATCGCTTGTTTAGATAGCACCCGTGGTTGCAGTTTAGATGGGCTCTCACTCGTCTATTTTAAATCAACACTATCAACTATTGCACCGTTCTTGACTAATTTATTTAACATGTCGCTTGCTAGTTGCACCTATCCGAATGAGTGGAAAGGCTCGGTTATTGTTCCTTTGCCAAAGGCAGCAAATCCGCAGTCGCCAAGCGACTTCAGGCCGGTTACAAATATGATCCACCTAGCTAAAGTATTGCGTACCTCCCTCCAGTATGGTCTCCGTACACAGATACTCCGAGGATAAGAGTCAAGCTACCGACAGCCAGCTTTTCATCATCAAGAATAATATTAAGGAATAACTGAAAGTTTCACCACTGGCCCTTTTCAGAGCCATTATAAGTATTTACGTTCCCTACTTAACCATCAATCTTATTGGTTCTTTCAAGGGCCACCTATAATTTAACTACCATTTTCGAAATTGATTCGTCGTTTGATAGAGACTACATAAAGCTGGCCACTATGAAACCAAGTCAGTCATTCACTGGCAGACGTCACCAGCGAAGTTGTTCGTTACAAGACTGGAAAACTATCAATCATCGATTCTCTTCAAGGTCTGCGCTGGGGAAAGCTAACAGCTATGAAGGAAAATAAATTTGAGGCAACGAGACAGATTTCAACAGGCAAGTATCACGAACCAACCGCTCCACCTTAGATCACCAATACAACTGAGTCTGCAAAAAAAGAAGGCGCTTTAGACACCAACGTCTTCGATGTTATACCAGGAGATATTGGGAAAGAGCTCTACAACTAGCTTCAACGTTTCAAACGTTGTAGTTTTTCTCCTGATCAGAATGATGCTATAATAACAGGCCAGATAAGATCATCCTAAAGTATCAAGGCAATTACGTTTGCTAAAAACTTCAGTCAAGAAAAAGTTTACTTAAGAAGCTCACCAGTATTTTCAGGGTCATCAGACGTCAAACTACCTGGCCAACAAATGCATAACAACTTAATAAAGTTATTCAAAATAGCCTTTAGGNCTTAATGTTTACACTTACTATATGCAGTTAATAATAAACAAAAGATAAATTAATTCGAAACTCAACTGTTCGCTACAAATCTGATTTGAATGCAATACAGGAAAAACATGTAACAATAGGTGATTAAGTTAGTTGTATAGACCACTCGTTAATCATCTTCTAATTTGTATACCATTACATAATTATGAATGTGGTAAGATGAAGTAAAAAAAATTTTGTAAAACCACTTTTTTAAGCATCAAAAGCCATCTATGTCCAGTTCAGGAGTAAAATACTGTTTATTGTATAATTTGGTCTTTCACAGACTTTAAGATTTGATGTAGCAGTTAGAACTTATCCTTCGGAGGCTTTGAAACCCAAGTTTGTCATATATTGCTATTTGTACTGACAATACTAGATATAAGTTATAAGTTCTGCACACAATTAGGTTCCACATTTATTAGTCAAATAAATTTCATAATTTAGAACTTAGGAAAGCACATAATTATGAATCTGGTTAAATTTTTTTAACAAGTTGAGTAAAACACCGTCATCGGTAAACTTTAAGGGTACCTCACCTGCTATAACAGCTAGAGTATTTAAATATTTTTTATTCAGTTGTGACTTTAAGTACCTAAAATATCTACGATTTACAACTTTTAAGTTTCAATAAAACTCCAAGATAGAAATGTATGATAAACTCATCCATGAGTGCTGTTCAAAGGCTAAGTTTAATTGAAATAAAGTCACCCTATTTTTGTTTTGCAAATAAAAAATAAAATACAATCACGTCTTTAAAATTACTCATGTATGTATGTCGATTTTGAGACAAACATAGATCACAATCTTTTTTTCAACATAAAAATTAAGTTAACGTTTTTATAACTTATATACGAATGTATATTGCCAAGGCAGAAAAAACGTATAAGTATAATTTTGTTGTGTTCTTCACAGAACCATACAATTAAATATTTGATATTTAATATTTTAATTAAAATAAACATATGTACATCTATGGCTGCGACGAAAAAGNCCTCCGGCAAATCAGGACTTGCGGCGATCTGAGCGTCTCCCTCGATCTGACTTTCATATGCCGCGAGCTACTTTAAATGTGTACGCATCCTCCTTCTCCCAGCGCGCAATGCGTCTCTGGGACTCAATTCCGGCATCTATCAGATCGAGGGACTCGCTCGGCTCGTTCAAGACAGACTACTTTAAGTACTTATTGGCACGAACGAGAGAGGAGTAGTTAATGAATTCTAGCACTAATAAAGCACACTTACATTACAAAAATGCTACGCATGTACCTTGTATTCTATTTATAATGTATCTGCTCAAATTAAATTGTATTGCGACTAAATTGACTATTGTGGTCACTTGGAATTGTATTATCTTTTATTGCGACATAGCTATGAAATCCGCGAATGAAGCGTATCTAAGAAATTGCAATGTATTTATTAACTTATAGAATGTTCTTTATAAAATTATAAAAATATTGCTTGTAATAACCGTCGTGCAGTGAGCTGTGATGCTGCTCTCGGCAATATTGGCAAGCCGACCGGGAGGGGCAGTACTTCACAGCGTGCCTGGGTCAGAGGCAATTGAAGCACAGCCGTGCCTGGTAGACGAGCTTCCTCCGTGCGCGTACATCAAGCCCCTGGAACTGCGCACAACGCCCGGGATAATGGCCCTTGTGGCACGCCGGGCACGACGGCGTATCGTTGCTCGTGGCAAGGGCGTGGTAATTGCGTCCTGATGTCGAGGAGTTCGAGCGTGAGGCTATTCTGCTGAAGGGACGTGCGGGCTGCGAGGCTTCGACAGAGCTGGCGGCGCGGCAACGGCGCCGAAGAAAGTCGGTCAAGGTGGTGAATGTGGCGACGTCAACCTCGGAGCCGGAAACGGTACTCTCCAACCGTTGGAGCTCCTCCTCCCATGCACGCCTCGTCGCTGGATCCATGCCAGTCATTCCACACGAGACAAACCAATCGTCCCAGCCGGCTACGGGACGACCTAAGGCGCGAAGCTGGTCGCGATGTTTTTCCAGGGTGTCCAAGAGGCTCTGCAACCCGCGGGCGGACTCGTCTCTGGGTGGCTTGATGTTCCGCAGGGCTGTGACATGGTCATGGACGAGAAGGCGGCTGTGCTCGTAGTGCGCTTCAAGCAGAGCCCATGCCGTAGAGTAATTGGCCTCGGCTACCTGGACCGTATCGAGGGCCGTCTTAGCGTCTCCCTGAGCGAGCGACTTCAAATAGAACAGGCGCTCGACGTTGGTGAGTTGGCAGTCCTCGTGGATCAGCGCTCGGAAGAGATCACGGAAGCTCTCCCAGTCTTCTCGTCTCCCGGAGAAGTTCGGAATGCTGATTCTCGGCAAGCGAGGCCCACGGCCCGAAGCCGGGTTCCCTGGGCCCGGGAATNTTACTTCGTATAATGTTGCCTCTAAAACTCTCATCATCCATAATGCGGCCTCTGATATGCGTTCCGAATAGAATTGTTTGATGTTGAGGTTTTTCATGAGCGAAAAACTTCAAAAAGTTATTAAATGCACTTATTATAAAAAAAAAAGTTTACATTACGACTGTTTTTTTACGTTTGTTATTGAAATGGTGTACTGCGTTCTATTCTAATTTTAAGACTTACTCTTACCAAGAAGTCACCCAGTATTTACTAAAAATATTCCAGTTTACCTTTTAATTATTTAGAGGTGTTCAAAATAATTGTAATTTACCTGTACTTTGCGATAAAGTTATTTCAATAAAAATACTTATTGTTTTAGAACGCGAAAAATGTAACGATAATTTTATATTCGTGATTAACCTTACTATAATCTTTTTTCAGCGGTTAGCGGCATTTACAGCTTTATTTATTATCAGCGAATATAGAAAAATAATATAATAAACTGGTTTAATATTTACGAAGACAATATTTACCGAAAATAAAATTTGCCGAATACATTTTGCCGAATAACGATTTGCTGAAAATTTTTAATTGTCATTCGGCAAAAAAAAAATTCGGAATAATATTTTTCGGGTTGCTATACTTTCTATACATTCATTTCGGCAAGAAAATTTTTCGTTAATTTGATACATCGGTTAATGTCTTTTCGTCAAATCATGAACTTCTCAAGAATTGTTCGATATACCTGAAGATAAGGGCTGTATTATTTTTGATGCCACTTATCGGATAGTTAAAAAATCAAAAAACTTCACTGGTCAAAAGCAGTTGTGGAGTGAACAAAAGAAATTGCCACTTGTTAAACCCATGGTAGGATGCACGCCAAACGGATTCATACTATTTGTCTTGGGTCCTTTGAATGCGAACCATAACGATGCACAGATTTTGAATGATTGCTTTCAAAGATATGATGAGCTATTATCCATGCTTCATAAAAATGATGTTGTCTTAGTCGATAATTGATTTAAAGATGTAATGGACTTTTTAAAAGATAAAAAAAAGCTTAGAGCATATAAATCTGGAACTGGAGAACGCGATACGTATGAAGCTAATCTAGCCAGGTTTGTTACGAAGGTGCGATGGATAATTGAGCAAGTATTTGGGCGACTTAAAAAAAAATTCAAGTTGCTTGCTGTATCAGCTCATAATGCTACACTGTCTTATGACTTTGATTACCTGTTNATCTTTTTTTTGTAACATGAAAGTTAAATTTGCACGTTCAAAATTACTTATATACATGTATCAATTCATACAGCAGGGATTGAAAATAAACATACATTTTCTGTTTCCGTATTATAAAATTTGCATCATAATTAGTTTTTTGGGCAATGGTCACCTTTCACCGATAAACACAGTGTATACACTAGCATTTTATTTTAGAAAACTGGTTTTTATTTACCGGTTTTTAGGATCACGCCTATAATTGTACTGAATTTTTCATTGCAGCTAACACCAACTCACATTTATACTACTTACTGTAAAATACTACACGGAATAATTCACAAAAACTTTTACTTATATTGCTACTAGCTAGCGCTGTTGATGAAAGATCCATGATTTTCGTAAATTCACTTCATGTTACTTGGTGATCGCGCTGACTAACATAAAATAATGTACGGCAAACTAAGTACAAACGCTGTAAGCCGCATCGTGACAGGCAACGTGACTACTAGCATGGCATTTTTGGAAACCCCCTTGTATTTACTGGATTTCAGGAGCATGTCTGTACTTATACGGAAAACGAGAAAATATGGTTGATTTTACATTTTAATTGTCACGGATGTATGATTTTTCTTACTTATGTAAACTAGAAAACTGAACACGCACGCAAAAATATTGTAATTTTCGCCACACTGTTAAAACCAGCAACCACTTTTTGAAAACGATTCTATTTCTACTGGTCTTGTAAAAATGATGTATGTGGTAAATATGCAAGTAGAACAAAATAGAAAGTTGTAAATAATTGTAAGCAACCACTTTGTTGAAAAATGAAACCTTCACTTACTGGGGAAGTTTCCGGTGTCTGACCTGTAGGTAGTACCCGTCCGTCATCCAACACACATCTACAGGTCTTGGTAATAGATCTCAAGGTGCTTCATCCACATATATTTCGGGTAGATCGGGAGCTTCACCTGGTGCACCTGCATGTGGTGCGGTGCATGGATTTATCGTACTTTGCCTTCAAAATACGCAGATAGCTTGGTAATTGTGTTAAGTAATAATGTTTAAAAAATCCGCAGTTTTCACTTTCACTTGAAAAAAATACCGTAATCTGATTACAAAAAATGCACGAGTATAAGTAGACTCAATCCAATGCTACGCATAACCGAGCGAGAGCGAAAACAAATGAGGTATGCACGTTACTACCGGGCGATTTTTCCTATTCCCTTTTGTGTGGATCTCCGTATCCGCCCCCCCCCCCCCCGTCTTTGTCAGCTGCAACAGTTATCCTTATACCAAGGATAGGCAGCTGGAAAAAGGAAGTTTTTACTCGTAGAAAATACGTAAGATACTATAGAAAACTTCGAGATTTTTTTACATAATAATTGACTTTGAGTTTACGACACTTTACATAACTCAATTGTGTATGAACCGTACATTTCAGTCTACTCTAAGCTTCATAGGTGAGAGTAAAGTATTTACTTTTGATTAACAGTATTACGTGCTTTACAAGAACTTACTTCTAATCAATCTTAATTAATTATCTTGAACTTTAAAAATGTTAACGTATTTAACGATTCGTATCAGTGAATCTGTGTTCCCGATTGCTAAAAATGATGAGTCATGATAGCGGCGAAGTATTGAAAAATACTAAAACCGTATAACTTTATCTAAAACTATTAATCCAATAAATAAATAAATTATAAATAACTTAAACGCCAATCACAAGGTAACCTCGCGCGCTGACTATCGACTTAATAAATTAATAAAATATACACAAATTATATTGCTTTCAATTATCAAGTTACCCAGAGCACTTGCTGGACATTTTTTAAACTGATAAAAAAAACAATGAATAACTGAAGCACACTCACCATGTAACCTGGGGCATTTGTCAGTCACTGTAATAATTAATAAAGCATTTATTTATAACATGAGCACTGACCAGCAGGTAACAGGGGCGCTTACTAGCCACTTGAATAATTATTAAGACACTATTTAATAACATAAGCTCAAATCACCAAGTGACAGTTTGTTACAAGTCCATCGTAGAATACTAAAAATTTAATAATAAACTCATCCCTAAGTTCATATAGGCCAGGTTCACAATTGACATCAGCGCCACTCCATGGCTAAATTCTGTGTCATCGCGATAAAAAAATAACGTGCAATTACACTGTCATAGTACAAAATATTTTAATCCTTCAATGACACTATTTAATAACATAAGCTCAAATCACCAAGTGACAGTTTGTTACAAGTCCATCGTAGAATACTAAAAATTTAATAATAAACTTATCCCTAAGTTCATATAGGCCAGGTTCACAATTTACATCAGCACCACTCCATGGCTAAATTCTGAGTCATCGCGATAAAAAAATAACGTGCAATTGCACTGTCATCGTACAAAATTTTTTAATCCTTAAATGAAAACTTTAGTATTATATAAATAATTTGTTAAAGAATACACATCTATGCTTTTTACAGATAAATTTTTTTTGTCCAAAGCATGCTGTAAATAGGCATAAAAAATGTCATACCTGTACAACGACTATTTTTCTATCTGTTTGACCATTGGTGATCGGAATGACCATCAATAACTCGTCAACCAATGAGAAACAATCTTATAGATTTATATAAATAGACATCAAATATTCATACCTCGTGACATTTAAAAATTGTCAAACGCAAAAAATTTATACCTGCCGCTATTAGGCCTAATAGATAGAGAATAAAAAGTGCTTCTACCTGGAAAACGACTTTGAGGTGAATANAAGCCTGTAAAATATATTTATGACATAATTCAAGTATAATTTTCTACTGCAGTAATCAAATTCTTTACTTATAGTAATACAACATAATCATTGTATCCAACATAAGCATCGGCTCAGAGCGAATATTAAAACGTATCCAATAGTATGACATACACATAATGTATAAACACGTTTAACACAGTATACCTTTCGTCTTTTCCTTGTCGATTGATGCGGAATAATCATCCATCAAAAATCCTGTCACATTCATCTGTTTTTTTCTTTTTTTGTGGCATGACTATTTTTGGTCAAATACCAAAAGTAAATTACAAATTTTGTCGAAAAACCATTCCACTAGCTAATTACCTAAATAGGTGCTAAAAAAATAAAACAGATCAAACAATGTAAATAAGGAACGATATTTTCAAGTCAATTATAGCAACAAAATACTATGGGAATTCATTGACAGGTTAAGTTAGTAAAAGTTATTCTCATGGAATAAGTAGAAAACAAATCCTTATATCTACAATTTAAACAGAAAAAGATATTAAAAAAAAAAAATTGAATCACAAATTTTTTGTTGCATTTTTCGCTTCTTTCTGCTACGTTTAGGTAAACAGTATTTCTTAACAAAATTAGGAACAGATGGCTTGACATACATCAAAATCTAATTGGTATTTGACCTGATAAATTTAGTTCACCTACTCTTATCAGTGGCTTAATGTTTACAATTACTATCTGCAGTTAATAATAAACAAAAGATAAATAAATTCGAAACTCTACTGTTCGCTACAAGTCTGATTTGAATGCAATACAGGAAAAACGTGTGACAATAGGTGACCAAGTTAGTTGTACAGACCATTCGTTAATCATTTTCTAATTTGTATACCATTACATAATTATAAATGTGGTAAGATGAAGTAAACAAAATTTTGTAAAACCACTTTTTTAAGCATCAAAAGCTATCTATGTTCAGTTCAGGAGTAAAATACTGTTTATTGTATAATTTGGTATTTTACAGACTTTAAGATTTGATGTAGCAGTTACAACTTTCTCTTCAGAGGCTTTGAAACGTAAGTTTGTC